CAGTTTCCTCATCTGTAAAATGGGGATAATAATAGCACCTATCTCCCAGGGTTGTTGTGATCAAATGAGAATAATTGTAAAAAGCCTGGCACATTGTAAACACTATATAAATATTAACTAATATCTCCTCCTCATTAGGTAATAGTTCAAACCTTGACTCTAGTTCATCAAATACTGACTTTAATGAACTAGAGAAACTTCCTTTCCAAGTAGTAAATATTCTTATTTTTATAATTCAATAAATATTAAAAATTACTGTATATATATATATACATAGAATCAATTATAAGTAATATGTTTTAAAATATTTACGTACACTATTTTGGTTATGACCAATGGCATAGGCCTCAAAATATCAGTAACTGACTTTCCTTCACTGGTCTGGAAAAGCAGTCTCAAGTCATTCATCAGATTTCAGATAATGAATAAAGTTTCTTAAAGTATCTTTGTATTTCTTTGAAAGATTGGTCCTTTGTCTTTGTCTTCTCTTCAGTCCTCACAGTCCTTCCAAAATTCACTGTATCTAAGTTCCTCAGACTTTACATAGAATTTGCTTTATAAAGTTTTTGTTTGTGTATGTTTGTGTCACCACAATTAAAACTGTTCCCTCAAGGAAGATTTCCCCTGACTCCATACTTCACGTCAAACTACTTTCTCAACTGACTTTTACAAACTCAGTTCAAAACTGCTTTTCATAGATCCTCATGGATCAGAGGGATGGCACACCTTCTCCCTGATTCCATATGGACAGGAACATCATATCAAGCAATTTTCTCAAATGACTTTAAAAACTGAATTCAAAACTGCCTTTCTCCACATCCTTAGGTCTTAGAGCTACAGTTTCTACAATCTCTGTAGGAGTTCTATTGGAAACAAGGGTTACATTATTATACGATTTAGAGTTGGAAGAAGCCTTATAAAATCATCTGTAAGACAACCGTAGACAGATAGGGTCGTGCCAGACAAACATTGAGATAGAGAAGAGAGTGTTGCATTGTTGGAGGCAAAGTGAAATAGGATGGAGGGGACTGATAAAGGAGTAGGAAGGAGATAAAGGCAGGATGCTACGGCGGCACTGCACGCTGACAGCTGAGTCATCCTAGATGCACACCAAAGCGCCTTTCCCATCAACGCTGAGGGTGGGAAGGCGTTCCTAAGGAACCTAGGCTAACCAAGTTATAAAAGAGGTCGTGCGTGGTAAATCCTCTTCTAGTAGTAAATTTCTGACTTTTTTCACTTTGTTTCCAAAGCTCCCCTGGCCTTTCTCCATAAAGTGCACACTCTCTGCATCCCCTAGGTAGGATTCTTTCCATCACATTGTGCAAAGTCGCAGGTTGCCTGCTAAACACCTAGGTGAACCAGGGAAGAGAAGCGGAGGGTCTGGAAGCCAGGGTTCCTGAGAGGATACGGGACAGAAGTGGGGGAAGCCTGCAGTTCAGCGGTATGTGGTGTTAGCGATCTTTGATAACACCGGCTTTCCCTAAAGCACAGCCAAAAGTTAGCACGTTCCTCCTCCCAGGAACCCCCAGGCCCATTCCTCGCTCCTCCCCTTCGCATCTAACTTCCACATGCACGACATTGCCCAACCAACACCGCCTCTTCTTGGAGTCTTTTCCCCTGTATCCAATCAGTGTGCCCTTACGATTGTCATCCCTTCCCAATAGGCACGCCCACACTCCCGCCTCCAAAAGGCACAACCTATTGTAGTGCCTAGTCCACCGGAAGAACAATTTCATAGGCTCCGGTGGAGCCTGGCCCCTCCCCTCGGGCTCATCATGGAGCCTGCCCCTGGGCAACCTGGGTTGGAGTCCAGAACACCGCTTTCCGGGTGCTCCCGGAACTCTCCTCTCGGACCTAGGCCCGGAAAGCAGCCTTCTCTTCCGCCCCCGAGCCTCGGATCCGGGGAGGTCTCTGAGGAAGAGCCCGGAGTGGGCGGGCGCACCCAGCTGGGAGGGACCCGGAAGACCCCGAGCCTGCCAGCCTATGAAACACCTGGGCCCTGTGGAACTCCACCCGGAGCCGGGCTCGCCTGGGGCCCTTGTGGGCCAACTCGCCCGAGCCCTCGGCCCTTGGGCCGACCCGTCTCTGTTCCCCAAGCGACGAAGCCGAAACCGAAGCCGGGAGGGAGCGCCTCCCGGGGCGCCCCGAGAAACAGCCGGATGAACCCAGAGGAGGAGGAGGAAGAGGAGGAGCGCGAGCCCGAGAAGGGGGCCCGCCCGTTCGCCGGGCGCCTTCAGGACAGCCGCAGCCTGGATGGGCTGAGCGGAGCCTGCGGTGGCGGGGCGGCTCCGCTTGGCGGCCCGGAGCAGGGGGCCGGCGGGGGCCGGCGGGCCACCATCTCCAGCGCTCTCGAGCTGGAGGGCACGGTCAGCCGGCACGGAGACCTCACCCACTTCGTGGCTAACAACCTGCAGCTCAAGATCCGCCTGAGCGGGAATCCGCAGCCACAGCCGCCGCCCTCGGCCCGGCCAGCCCCGGTCCCCACGCCGTCCATCCCGCCCATAGATCCGGAGGTGCTGCGGGACCTGGAGCGGCTGAGCCGGGAGCTGGGTGCCCGCGTGGAACGGCTGCTTCGCGGGCTGGGCGGCGCGGTGCAGGAGCTGACGGCGCTGAGCGTGGGTTGCATCCAGACCTATCGAGACGCCGTGGACTCGCTGGGAGAGGCGGTGGACATGAGCATCAAGGGCATGTACACGCTGCTGGCCCGGTGCGAGGAGCTGGAGCGGGCCCTCCAGCCGGTCCAGGGACTGGCCCGACAGGTCCGGGACATCCGCCGCACCCTGGAAGTGCTGGAGGCTCTCTGCAAGTGACAGACTGGAGAGGGTTGGGAGCACCTCCACACTCGGGGAAGGGGTGGTTTGGTGTGTATGATGGTGGGAGGAGACCACCAGGGTCCTGTCTCCAGTCTCCTGTACACCCCCCCCCAACCTCAAACCCTTAGGAAGAAGATGACAATTGCCGAGGAAAAGAAGAGAAACCACTCCTCATATGTGTCCAGTGATCATCTTCCCATTCTATGAGATTTCTTGGTTGTCCGGATAAGAACCTCTTACAATATGTGCTGGGAAGCTTTCTTGTACGTTGGGGAGGGAGTGTCTTCCATGAGACCTAGTCCTTTTAAGAGTGGTAGGTTAGTCCTGCCCTGCCCTGTCCTGTCCCTAAGTGCTGCTCCTACTGAATCCCTAGCTGAGACACCATCCACCCTGGGACCAGGTTTGAAGGTAAAAAGATGTGGCCATGAGAGAGGGGACAAAAAAAGGGACTTTAACTGCAGCTGTGACCATTGTGGCAGCTACTGTAGGGGCTGACAGCTGGTGAAACTAGTGTCTTCAGATGAACTTGTATTAATGGCAAAGAATGCCCCAGTCTTTTCACTGTCTCCCAAAACTGTCTTTACTCCTATAAAGTGTGCTTCCAACAAGGGTGAAGAGAGAAGGAGCTTACTGTACTAAGTCCTGAATATTTGGGTTCCTGCAGGGAGTAAGAGCTAGGTTTATTCCTGCTAGGATTTATATGAGAATTGTTGATAGTTTTGAACCTGTTGTGGAGTTTAATGATCTTGGCCTATGAGCCAACATTTTTGACTTTCTGAGTTGTGTGGAATTAAAATGCTGCTCCTGTTAACAATGAAACTGTATCTCTGTAGGGTGTTGTGGGAGGAGTAAAATGTGGGTTTCTGTGATGGGGCAAAATAGGACAAAAAGAACAAGAGAAAATTAGAGATGAACGCACCTGCCCCAGGCGATAGGGAAGGAGGCACTCTAGCTCTATAATGGGGGATTGAACACCTGGACCCAAGAGAGGCAAGTGTTGGGAGGACTAAACACCTCAGCCTCATGCACGGAAGGGCAGTAAACGAGGCAATATACCTAGGCTTAGTTTTCCATGATTTTCTATCCAAAAGCTGCGTTATCATCATTCAGATATCTTAATTCCCCTCAATCCTGCAAATCCTATGCCTATCTTAGCTCACCTGGAGGAATTCTGGAGAGTCCACCTACTCCTGGGAGGAAGCTGGGAAACACTGCTATCCTCAGAAAGGAGCTAAACTGACCCACGGGGCTTGGATCTTGATTTGAACACATTATCATTGAATGAAGATAAAGAATACATCCCAACAAAAAGTAGAGGGGGGCATTTAAATAAGGTGACAAAATGAAAAGCCAAAAACTTCCCCATTTGGGGAATCAGACCTAATACCTCACAGACTATGCACTAACCAACTAAGCTAATCCGTTTACAGAAAGTTCAGGAGCGCTGAAATTCTCCTGGATTTTGCAAAATAGGAAAATTGGGTTTCATGGCCCCCCTAAAGTGGGTGGGACTAAAGATAAAGAGTAAGGTCTGCTTATCCGAACTCCTGGGTTCCAGAAGAAAGTGAAAGAGGAAGACGAAAACCCAGGTTTGGAATACGAGATTACTGGAATTTAGGGAAGGACTGAAAGGATAAAATGGGGCTGGGAACCCCGACGCCTGTGAGTCTACAAGGAGAAGGTACTCCATTCTCTTGTTCCCACTATCCCTTTCAGGTTCCCGAACCCTGCCCCAGAAAGGGCCCTCCCTTCAGTCTCCTGCCCCTTCTGTCTTCTAGAACTTCTGCAGAATGGCTTGGCTGAAATTCGCCAGGAGTTAATTCGGAGCGGAGGGGGCGGGAGCGTAGACAATAAGCAGAAGAGATACCTGGGTTCATTCCTCCAATCAAAAAAACGAAATATAGGTGGAACAAAAAGAAGCCCTATGAGGCACCGCTGGGAGTCGAACCCAGGATCTCCTGTTTACTAGACAGGCGCTTTAACCAGCTAAGCCACGGCGCCACTCGTTTTGATAAGAATTTTGTGACCCCTCTTGGATCTAGAACATCGTCAGCGTTGACTAGGATGAGAAGATATTTGTTTAGTCAAGAAACTATGCTCAGTCAATAGCCGCGAAGACAAAGAGGACCGGGAGACGAGAGACTTGGGCTGCCTGAGATAGGTGTGAAAACTACTGTTGGCAATTACTCACCTTTTTAAAAATACATTTTACTTCCCACCACTGCCGACGAGGATGGGATTCGAACCCACGCGTGCATAGCACAATGGATTAGCAGTCCATCGCCTTAACCACTCGGCCACCTCGTCCTCGGATGTGAAGGACCGTCTCCACCCTCTGGAGTCTCAGAAGCCCTTTCTGGAGAGCGCTGTTTTTCTTCTGCTATTGTCATGTTTCTCCGAAAGCCGAGGTGCCCACCTCTATTTCGACAGGGAAGGAGTTAAACGGGAAGGGTATTTCTTAGAATAGCGTCCGGTTAAGGTGGGAGGGGCGGGCTGGGGGCTGGGAAAGAGCCGCAAAGGAAGTAATTCATTGATTGGCTAACTTTTCCTAGTCTGTACTCTCCGGAAGGTCAAGTGCAGAAAAATAAGAGCATTTCCCCATTTCCTCTCCTATGGCAGGGGTAGGACCAGAAACTAGAACTAGAAGGGACCTCAGAGGCCAACCCATTTTACAGATGAGGAAATTGAGGCCCATAGAGGAGAAATGTTTTGTCCAAGATCACAAAGTTGTATTTAACCCTAAAGTTTGACTCCAGAGCCAGTTTAGGGACTTTTTAATGCTTCTGACTCACCAAGACTGTAGTCAATCGGTCAGTCCTCGGACCATTGCAAGAATTAGGGCACCCTTCTCCTCCCGTTTCTAGCCCCTCAGCGACCGGATTCTCTCCGCGTCCAGCCCCTGAGGAAGACCGGAAAAAATGGATTGAGAGTCCTATCCTGGGAAGCTGACAAAGGTTTCTAAGAAGCAGGAGGTGTTAAAAGGAAAAACGTGACATCACGTACTATGACCCCGACGTGATTCGAACACGCAACCTTCTGATCTGGAGTCAGACGCGCTACCGTTGCGCCACGAGGTCAGCTGGCTGGGTGTGTGGACGTGTCAGCTTAGGACTATCGGGCGGCTAGAATGGCTAGGTCTGTAAGGTGCGAACAGATGAAGAGGGAGTCGGAGATTGGTGGGTCAGGTGGATTCGGCCCCAGTGATAGATAGATAGATAGTTTAGATAGATTAGATAGATACATACATAGATACACAGATACATACATGGATATATAGATACATATAGATAGATACATAGATAAATACATAGATACACAGATAGATATATAACCCGGGACAGAGATTTCCCGCTCCCTCTCCGTGCGGATGTGAATGGAGAGGCTGGAAGTTTCCAAATTCTTGGAAATCCCCAAAGGTCCTGGTCCCCTCCTACCTGGGTCCTCCGGTTCTTGACCACCCCGACACACCAAAGGACTGTTCTTTGTCTTCCACGTCTCATTCCTCCCGCCTTCAGATCAGAAAGCAAAGGGATCGATCTTACATTCTTCCCTCTCAGAATCTCTCTGAGGAGACGCAGGGCTCCTCACAAAAAAAAAAAAAAAAAAAAAAAAAAAGAGCCTGACTTCTTCCTCCGCCTGTTCACCTAATCCAAGAACCCATCCGGTGGTTTTACCTGCAGCCTCATTTCCATGCACTCATCCGCAGAAGGGAGTGAGAGTTCTCCCCAGGCAATGTCTCTCTTCCCGCCAAAGAGTTTAGAGCTCCTTGGTAATGACGGAGGACGCTGGGACCGTGTGTTTAAAAGAGAGGCTGCGAGGTCCTCGAAAGATCTGCTCCGTAGGGAGGACGCTGTGCTTTATTTCGCTCCTGCTCCCTGACCCGCAGGGTGATTGTTCCAGGGTTTGAGTCCAGCCTGCCGCCCGCGCCCTCCTCAGTTCTATCCTTAAGTCACCCTAACTTAGGGAAGGAATCAGTGGATAAAAAGAGATTGAAAAGTAAAAAGATCCGGAGAGGAACAAGTTAAGACAAGGGATCCAGGGCGGGAGCCGAGCAATTGGTACTTGCAAGAAGGACCACCTCTCCCTTCGAGACCCGGAGCCAAGAAAGGGAGAAGGGGTGGGGAAGGGTGACGTCGAGGTGATTTTAAGTACAGAAACAGGGACGGAGAAAGATATAAAAAAGAATACACAGGGATTACAGAATAGGAACCCAAGTCCATACATCTTACCAAAGCTGAAAACCCCAGAAGCGTAAACAAAACGTGGCTGCACGATTCTAACTTAATATTTGCGTAGATAGAAAGGAAGGAGATAAGAGTTCTGGAATATTTCCCTAACCACTCAGGCCCACTTTGATCTCTCTTTCCTCTGAATGCACATCACTTATTGTCTTATTATGTAATCCTTCAGGAGATTCGGGGTACTATAATCTTGCAGGTTGGTAGTAGTAGTTTAAAACACACACACACACACACACACACACACACACACACACAACCAAACAAACAAACAAAAAACCAACCTTGTATTTTTCTTTAACTTTTCTTTAATGTGTGTATAATCGGGGTTGCTCTGCCATGGAGTATGTGTGGAAATGGACCTACAGAGTGCATTGAGCTTTTCTGACAGCTTCTAGGGACACAAGTTAAAAGGTGAACTGATTGACACGTGAGATGATACAGCAAACCCTGGGTGGTCCTTTGTGTCTTCTGGGGGTCTGGGGAGGAGGGGGAGGGAGGGAGGGACGGAGATACCTCATCAATTAAATTTGAGAAAGTTTCTTCAACCTTTCTTGCTTTCTTGTCCTCCAGGATGTGTGACAGATAACTCTCCCTAGAGTTACAAAATATTATATGATGCATGTATCAGCTGAATGAGCCCTATCCCCTGACACAATAGAAGCCTGGATCATAATTAGAGCTGGAAGGGACCTCCAAGGTCAACTAACTAAAATTCCTCTTCTCACTGTTGAGGAAAATGAGAGCTAGAGATGTTAAGTACATTGCCCCAAGTTCATCTCGGCAGTCCTCTCTCCTCAAAGATAAAGAAACAAGTATTTATTAATTACCTCTTATGTGAAGGCATCGTGGTAGATGCTAAGGTTTGGTTATCTAAAAGGTTATATAAGAAATATACATATATATATATGTGTGTGTGTGTATGTATGTATGTAGGTGTGTATGTATACACATATACCTCATACTTAACAAGATGTGCATTAAAGCTGCAAATCAAGAGCAGATTTTTAACTAAACAAAAGGAGAAAAAAAGTCAAAGGTATATTTTGGATGTAATATCATAACAGCTTCAGAGACTTCAAAATGAGATAACACTATTACAAACTGTGAAGATCTAAACAAACAGTAAAATGATGGGACTGGGTCTAAATGTAGCTGGTTGCATAGCTTTTGCTAGTCTCTTCTGTTATTTATTTATTTGTTACATTTAAGTTCCAAGCTGTCTCCTTCCCTTTCTCCCCACCCTGCACTAGAGAAGGCCACCATCTGACACGCACATAATATTAACATATATATGTATATATATGTAAAATCATATTATGAATACTTTTATTTATCAGTTCTTTCTCTGGAGGTCAATAGCATCTTACTTCATGATCCTTTACAGTTGATTTGAATATTTATAACACTCACAATAGCTTAGTTGTTCATAGTTATTCTTCAAACAATATTGCTGTTATTGTATACAATGTTCTCTTAGTTTTGCTCATTTCACTCTTCATTATTTCATGCAAATCTTTCCATGTTTTTCTAAAATCAACCTGCTCAACATTTCTTATTGCACAATGGTATTCCATCACAATTATATACCACAATTTGTTTAGCCAGTCCCCAACTGATGGACATCCCCTCAGTTTCTAGTTCTTTGCCACACCAAGGAGAACTGCTACAAGTATTTTAGAACATATAAATTCTTTTCCTTTTTCCCTGATCATTTTGGGAAACAGAGCTAATAGTGGTATTGGTGGGTCAAAGGGTATATACAGTTTTGTTACTCTTTTACCATAATTACAGATTGTTCTCCAAAAGGGAGTATTAGTGTCTTGTTTTTTTTTCTACATTTCCACCAACATTTGTCGTTTTCCCCTTCTTTCATTTTAGCCAATCTGATAGGTGTGAAATGATATCTCAAAGTTGTTTTAATTTACATTCCTCTAATCAATAATGATTCAAAGCAATTTTTTCAAATACAGCTTTGATTCCTTCATCCAAAAAATGGCCTGTTCATATCATTCAACCATTTATCAATTGGGGAATGACTCATTCTTATAAATTTGACAAAGTTCTCTATAAAATATTTGAGATATGAGACCTTTATCTGAGAAACTGTCTATAAAGTTTCCCCCAAAGTTTCTGCTCTCCTTCTAATCTTGGCTACATTAGTTTGATTTGTACAAAACCCTTTTAATTGGATGTATCAAAACTATCCATTTTACATCTCACAATGCTGTCTCATTTCTTCATAAATTCTTCTCCTATCCATAAGTTTGATAGGTCATGTGTTCCATGTTCTTCTAATTTTTTTATGATATCTCTTTATATCTAGGTCATGTATCCATTTTGATCTCATCTTGGTAAATGGTAATGGCAATTTCTGCCAGACTGCTTTCCAGTTTTCCCAACAATTTTTACCAAATAGTGAATTCTTATCCTAAAAGGTTAAATCATTACATTTGTCAAACATGAGGTTACTGTAACCATTTGCTGTCGTGTATTGTAAGTCTACTCTATTCTACTGATCCACCATTCTATTTCTTAGCCAGTAGCAGATAGTTTTGATAACTACTGCCTTATAATACAATTTAAGA